GTCGCGGCGGGCAGCGAGCGGGCCCTCGCGAGCTGCTCTGCGGAGCCTCCCCTCCCCCTCTCCGGGGAACCGGATTTGGCGGCCGCCATTTTCCTATCTCCTCGTCTTCTCCTCCTCCACAGCGTTTTTATCTTAACTCTCTCAACTCTAGTAGTTTAATTTCTTTGTGGAAGCATAGAAGTGGTTAACTATATTTCTCTCTTCTCGGGCTGTTTTCATCTCGTTTCGAGGTGGATTTGGAGTGTTTTGTGAGCTTGGATCTTTAGCGTCCTGCGCACCTCATTAAAGCTCTCTGCCTTCCCCTCGATGAAATGGCGCCATTGCGTGCAGAAGCCACACAGAAGAGAGGGCGGGGGCGGGGGACGGCTCTGCAGGGCTTCTTGGCGACTAGGAGAAGGTATCTTAGTTTAGGGCGTTGGGCCGCTTTTAAAGCGAGCTACTTTACGGAGAAAGCTTTTTATGTTTTCCAGTCCGTAATAGTTGAGTAACGGTTTTATTTTCGGCTGCAGTGATTAGGAAAGCAGCTGAATTGTAGGAAACTTGTTAAAAAATATGGAGTCCTCAAATTACTACCGAGCGTGGTGTAGTGAGCGCGATTATTGTGGGGGAGGGTGTTCATTTTAGTAATTTATTACCCTGAAGGATTCTACTTGAATCGTGGGATGATTTTCGTACTTTTAAATAGTATTTTTATTGGGAGGTTAAAGCTACTGATCTTTATGTGAGAAATTACAAAGAAAGTGAGACAAAAACAGTTTGTTTTAGTTTGGTTAAAATATGGCTCAGTCCTCGATTCGAAGAGTGTATTACTATAAAGTGTTTTAGGCAAGCCTGAGCCATAATGTTTTTGAACTTTGTCACTTTTCTCATTTGTTCGCAATTTTGGTTGATGATTACATTGATAAGCATAATGCCGTTTTAAGTGAAGGGGGTCTACCTGGTTACTTTCTTTGACCCTAAGCGCATTTATAAAATAACTTTTTTTATAATCGATAGTGGACATCGGGTAAGTTTGGAAAAAACTATGAGGTAAGTAAGAGTTTTTGCTTTTTGTTACTGACTTGTAAGAGTTGACATATTTTACATTTTGGTATGTGAGACCTACTTGAGGAAAGTATAGCTAAAATTCAAAATATTAATCGTGTCGAAAAACATTTTTAAAGAAGTATTTGTCTCAAAAGGAACTAGTTTGAAAACTTCAGGTAACTTTTGAAATTTTCATAATGTTGGATGTTTGACTACGGGCAAAAAAGCCTGAATTGGCTTTTGATTGATTTTCGAGCATTTGGAAGAATATTCACAGAGGGAAAATCTTCATAGGACTGGATTGAAAGTAATGCCTTGCAGTAGGAGCAAAACTTTATTTAACGTACATACAAGGCAGTTGGTCTGGGTATGACCTGAGATTTGTTAGCCTAGTTACCTGTAAGCCAGGTTTAACTGCTAAAAATAAAGGTCAGTTTAATCAGAATGTAACATTTTCTTGCTGGTTTTTGAGGGACTAAAAGATACCTACTCAGGTATTTTTAACTCTAAAGCCGGGTGTGGTGGCGCATGCCTGTAATCCCAACACGCGGGAGGCTGAGGCAGGAGGATCGCTGTGAGTTCGAGACCAGCCTGGGCTACATAGTGAGTTCTAGATCAGTCTCAACTAGTGAGACCCTGTCTCAAAAAAACAAACAAAAATAGAACAGTAGACACTGGTTTTATGTTGTGTGGTTTTCCCAGGTAGCCAGTAAGTTTAATAATAAGCTTGATCTGGTTTAATGAATTCAGGAAATAATGATGTTACCATATGGAACTTTATAGCTTTAAAATGAGTTACTGTATCTGCAGATAATTGTATCTTATGTTCATGTGATTGTTACCTGAAGCTTGAACAATTGCCTAAGCCAAGTACGGGAATTCCTGCCCCACAAAAATTGCTTATTGTAACCTTTTTGGGCTTCACATATTTAAACATTAGATATTGCTGATTATAAAAATTAATTTGGGTTATAAAATTTACTTTTAAGTTATTTTGTGCATATAATGAATATTCAGAAATTAGGTACTACCTAATTTCCTAATTGAAAGTTGTGTGGAGAAACACCCTGTTTTTTGGGGTGGAGGGGTTGGTCGAGCTGCTTAGAACTACCACTGTAGTAGGAGCAATTAAGGAAGAACTACTGATTTCAGATAACTAAACCTGAAATGGTAAAGCTTTGTGTAAGCATAGAACTAAGAGGTGTGTTTCTTGTATTGAAAAATGTATAAAGATAACTTGTGTTTTAAGGATGTAGAATTGAATGATAATTTTGTTAATTTTTTAATAGCTCTCCACTGACCATCGAATCGATGTTTCTCCTAGAAAATTTAAAATAAGTGATACTAAATTTGCTTAAAACAATTTAATGTCAGGTAAATTTAGATCAAGCATTAGTGATTTTAAAACTTTAGTTCAGCTGAGACTTTTTTGGTGTTAACGCAACTAATATGCAGTTTAACATATGGTTTAAATTTGATGTAAGTTTCTTTTTTCCCCCCCAGAAAACTTTAGAAACTGTTCCTTTGGAGAGGAAAAAGGTACTCTGCCAGCAGGTCACCTCATATTTAAGAATTTAATTTCCTGCATACAAAGAGAAAATGTAAATAAAAATTGAAATGATATTTTCCTTTGCAGAGAGAAAAGGAACAGTTTCGTAAGCTCTTTATTGGTGGCTTAAGTTTTGAAACCACAGAAGAAAGTTTGAGGAACTACTACGAGCAATGGGGAAAACTGACAGACTGTGTGGTACGTTAACTATGGAAGGCTGCAGATAATAATAGCCTTGTAACTTAAGTGAATCTTGGCAGAAAAAAACTTAATATTCCTATAAAAAACATAATTAATATTGCTAAATTTCTAACAATAATAAAATTAAATGCTAAAGATTCCTTTTTGGTTTTAAAGGTTATGAGGGATCCTGCAAGCAAAAGATCGAGAGGATTTGGTTTTGTAACTTTCTCATCCATGGCTGAGGTTGATGCTGCCATGGCTGCAAGGCCTCATTCAATTGATGGGAGAGTAGTTGAACCAAAACGCGCTGTAGCAAGAGAGGTAAGCAAAACAAACTAAATGCAATAAACATGAACATTCTAATCAGAATGTAATTTTTAAAACCAATACTACCTAAAGTGGTTGGGTTTGTGGACAGTTCATTTTTTGTTTTTCAGGACTGGGCCCTTGAAACTTTTACTTTATCTGTCATAAAAGAGATTTAAGGCAAATGAAACAGAAGATGGAATTGCTTGCAATCATACTTAGATTTTTTTCTCCCAGGTTAACTCTTTCTCCCCCCTCCACTTGTGTAGGAGTCGGGAAAACCAGGGGCTCACGTGACTGTGAAGAAATTGTTTGTTGGTGGAATTAAAGAAGATACTGAGGAACATCACCTTAGAGATTACTTTGAAGAATATGGAAAAATTGATACCATTGAGATAATTACTGATAGGCAGTCTGGGAAAAAAAGAGGCTTTGGCTTTGTTACTTTTGATGACCATGACCCTGTGGATAAAATTGTGTGTAAGTGTCTGTAGTTAGGTGTGCAGCCTTGCATGTATTTGGGGTATGTTAATATTTATGACTTTTTCAGTAATATCTCTTACTGTTAGTATGTAGATTTAAGAGAATCTGATTTTTTTTTTTCCAGTGCAAAAATACCACACTATCAATGGTCATAATGCAGAAGTAAGAAAGGCTTTGTCTAGACAAGAAATGCAGGAAGTCCAAAGTTCTAGGAGTGGAAGAGGGGGTAAGTAAAATTCATTCCACTTTTCTCTTAATTAGTCTTAAGTGTTCACCACCACTAACAAGGAGCATTTATTGTAGGCAACTTTGGTTTTGGGGATTCACGTGGTGGCGGTGGGAATTTTGGACCAGGACCAGGAAGTAACTTTAGAGGAGGATCTGGTAAGTGCAAATTTGAAGTGTGTCTGAAGGGTGAAATGTGCTTAATTTAAAATTAGTTAGGTTTTGGTTAGGAAATCAAACTTGGGATGTTTCTAAGTTGTATCCTGCTGACCTCTTGATGGCATCTGTCAAGTGGTAATACAGTTAAACACATTTATTTATGGTTTTTAAGTTACGAAATGATATTGTAACCTCTTGCATATAAGTATTCCTGAATAATGAGTGGAGTTAACAGAAGCATTAAGGAGCTAACCATTGTCTTGATTGGGGTAGAATTTTTGTGAACAGGTTTGGAGGTGTGTCTGGCTTACTAACGTCAAATGGGGTGCGACAGAAGGTCTAGCGCCATTCAGTGTCACTTGTATGGCTAAATGAATGGAATCTCTTTATAGTTATGAGTTGCAGAATTCAGGCCCCAAAATAAGCCTAAAATTTAAAAAAAAATTTTTTTTTCTTGCCCAATAAGGCAAGTGTGTTTTAGTCCAAGGTTCTGGGTTATTCTCATTCTGAGGCACTAATAGTGTTGGGGAAAAGAGTATTATTAATATGTGGGACAGGGAGGCCAGGGATTTAGCTCATTGATTCCTCCACCTGCCTCACAAGCTCAAGCTCCCAAGTTCAATCCCTTGTGTCAAGAGGAGAAAAAAATACATATGGGGCGGGGGAGGGAGAGAACAGGTTACAGTAATCCTTAATTTTTTGGCCCCTAACAGATGGATATGGAAGTGGACGAGGATTTGGTGATGGCTATAATGGGTATGGAGGAGGACCTGGAGGTCAGTTTTTTTGTTTTGTTTTGTTTTGTTTTCCTTATTTTGGTTTATGTGACTTAAGATTTGATCAAACTTGCCCTTTATAAATAAAGACCTAGGTAATACTCGTACACTTACTAAGTTTTAAAAATTGAGGCTTGGACATGTTTTAACTAAATGTGTTTTAGGTGTTGGGAAACTTGACTACAAAATTATATGGGTGGGCCATTTATGAAAATTGACAGACACCATCATGTGCTCACATTTCTGGAGTAAAAGAGTAGAAACTACATGTGAGATTTCATGTACTTTTGTGTTTCTGCTAAGAATAAAATAATGAATTTGACTAAGACCAGTGTGTAAAGGGAAAATAGGAGCAACTGCATTCTTAGTCCTGATTTTAAAAGGGCATTTAAAATGATGAAAATGGATTGTAGATGTGCTTTTGCTGCTTGCTCCGTTACTGACCATATCTGTTCCAAATTTTAGACAAGGCAAAGTTCATACTGCAAATAACTTGAGGCTTACTCTGCTCGTTTTAAGATCTCAAGTTACATGAAACTTCACTTATTTTAGATTATCCAGGTTTCCTGCTCAGGGAAGGGTAATGAGTATGTAGTATAAGAAACAACGTGGTAATTCATAAAGGAACATGAATTATGAACTGAGATCTTTTGTAACAGTGGGGGTGTGTGACCCTTCTTCCAATATCACGCCAGTAGTTAGATACTAATTTCATTAGTCACAGGTGAGAGCTGTGGTGACTTGTAATTCTAGCAACTCCAGATCTAAATGCTTTATATGTAGGTATTTTGGGCTTAAAGGTCATTCTAGAGGAGATTTCATAGGAAAAATAAGACTAGAAGAAGTATATATTTTGAGAAACTTAATAGATCTGATAATACAGTTTAGAAGCATTGAAAATATTAATTAAATGCCTATTTTATTTAGGTGGCAATTTTGGAGGTAGCCCTGGTTATGGAGGAGGAAGAGGAGGATATGGTGGTGGAGGACCTGGATATGGAAACCAGGGTGGGGGCTACGGAGGTGGTTATGACAACTATGGAGGAGGTAATAAATTCATATGCCACCTTCCTGCAGATGTCTTTGACAATACTGGGAAGCAAACCAAGGGCCTCTTATGACAGGCAAGGCATTTACCACTCACTGATCTATATTCCTGGCACCTACCTGCCTGTAGCCTTTATGTGGGACTTGGTATTGAAATTCATGATTCTTAGAAGATATTTTGTTGTTTAACCATTGCCACCAGCGTTTACGTATTGCAGAACTGCAAAAGTATTTTGCATTCTGACATGTTTTTATGGGAGCATTGTCCTAATAAGGTCTGTTGTGCTGAATGCTCCTTTTTTTTTTTTAAAAGGAAATTATGGAAGTGGAAATTACAATGATTTTGGAAATTATAACCAACAACCTTCTAACTATGGTCCAATGAAAAGTGGAAACTTTGGTGGTAGCAGGAACATGGGGGGACCATATGGTGGAGGTAAGTTAAAATTTCAGATTGATTTTTTTTATGTGATTACTTAGTTTTTTATGATTTGAAAGGGGGGATAGTAACATTTCAAATGTGTTTGCTTAGTTGGCTAATGTTTTGCATATGCAATGTTAATGAGGTAAGTTTTACAGAAGTATTTAAAATATATCAGAACAATCAGAAAAAATACAGTATCTGAACAGGAGTTGGGTAATGGAGGAGGAATGTTCTTACTATGTAAAATATTTTAGGGTGAGGATAGTAGATAATAGGTGGGAGTTCTTGTAATAAGGGATAAACTACTGTTTTTGAGACAGGGCAGGGTGTTGCTGGGTAGTTCAGGCTTGCCTGGAACTCAGTGATCCTTCTACCCCAGCCCCAGCCTCCAGAGTGCTGGGATTACAGGCATGCAGCACTGTCCTGGCGTAGCCAAATCATGGAGTACATTGCAGGTAGTATAAATGTGATGAGCCTCTTCAAAGTTAAATAATCACAAACTCCTGTCCAAACCATTATTTAACTTGTTGAGTAGGGCTGGGGATTTAGCTCAGTGGTTCCACCACCTGCCTCTCAAGCACAAGGTTCTGAGTTCGATCCCTGACCAAAAAAA